TACCAGACTTTTAGCGTCATTCTCCAAAGAATCGGAGTACTGGCCGCACGTCCTACCTTCAACTAATCTCGGTACACTTTTATATAATGATAGTTTTCGTATAGCTTTAGGTCTTCGACTGGGAACACCGCTGTGCACTGAGCACAGATGCCCGTATGGAAAAGAGGTTGATTGTTATAGACTCCATGGACTCTTTTGCAAAAGAAGTTCAGGTAGATTTTTCCATCATGGTTTCCTAAACGATACCATCAAAAGGGCTCTTGCCACCATTGAAATTCCTGCTCTTATTGAGCCATGTGGAATAAGTCGAGATGATGGTAAGAGACCTGATGACCTGTCGCTGGTTCCACTATGCCACCCTTAGTCAAAATTATGATTTTATTGCATTTGCTGTAGAAACCCATGGCCCATATAGTCAAAGCACTTTTTAAAAGACATAACACCTCGTCTTATCGCCTCTACTGGTGACAGTAGAAATGGCGCATTTTTCGTTCAAAGAATTGGCATTGCCATTCAACGGAGAAATGCGGCTAGTATTTTTGCCACTATTCCACGAGGACATGACTTGTATATTTGTAATTTTCTTATAATACAACAAACAAACAGTATTTTTTATATTATCTAGTTAATTCAGAATTCTACTCGTATTTGTTAAGCTTTTTCAACGTGATGAGGTTAGAAGCACATATTCGCTAATTTGGAACTATCCATTGAATAGGACAAACATGAGATAGTATTGTTCGCTGATGACACTTCACTTATTTTTAAAGTGAAGTGCAATTCGCTAATGTACGACGGTGTAAACGATGCTCTCTCAAAGGTTGTCTATTGGTTTGATTCAAATAATTTATTATTAAATAATAAAAAGACAAAATTAATAATATTCTCAACACCTAATGTCAAACTTGTTGATAATGGTGTAACATTAAATGGCGAAGTGCTTAAGCCTGTAGAGTCCACAAAATTCCTAGGTATTATCATAAATTCAAAATTGCAGTGGGGCCCCCATATTGAAGGGCTAGCGAGTAGACTCAGCTCTGCAGCATTCGCGGTAAAAAATATAAGACTTCTTACTGATGTAGATACAGCTCGCATAGTATATTTTAGTTATTTTCATAGTATTATGTCCTATGGTATCTTACTATGGGGAAATGCAGCTGTTATTAATACGATTTTTGTCCTGCAGAAAAGAGCTATTCGTGCAATTTATAGTCTAGGTCCTAGAGTGTCATTAAGAGATAAGTTTAAACAAATAAAAATATTAACTGTTGCTTCTCAGTACGTGTACGAAAATGTTATGTATGTCCGTAAAAATACACAAAACACTTGTAATGTCTGTGACTCGTCTACACGGAGTCAGTAATTCTTTTTATGGGCAATGTATACGCTTGTACAACAGGATCCCAGAAAATGCTCAAAAGGCTTCTATCGCCAAATTCAAAAAAAATGTTAAAGAACGTTTGTGTGCTAAAGGCTATTGTACAATAAATGATTTTATAGAAGATGGCACACCTTGGGAATGAAATGATCGCCTCCAGGCTACTTCAACTTGATAGAAATATTGTAAATTATAATTTTACTTTAAAAAAAGATTATACTTTAAGAAAAGATATTGGTCCCGCTGAGTTTCTTTCGCCAGTTCTTCTCAGGTCTGAGGCGTTTTCTTTCCGAACTGGTAGTAGACTCATGACGTTCAGTAAAAAATTGTAATAATTTAATGCTGAATAAAATATTTTGATTTGATTTAATTTGAATATAAGTCTTACCTCATCTGCTTTTATTATTCTAATGACGTAATATATTGAATACATCGTATAAGGTATGTTTGAAAGCGAAGTTATGATATACTGAAATGTTAATAAAAAGTATTAATCACGAAAAAGGAAAATGAACTTTAAAAAAAAAAGTATTGAGCTTACAATCGGATCCATAGATTTTTTGATACCATCGGTAGAATCAATTAAATACTTATATATATGATGGTAGTACAATGTTCGAAATTTACTGTTCTCTATTAGCATACGTAGCTGTCGTAATCTACAAAATGATGCATGAAATGCCATGGACAGAATGAATAGGGGATAGTCTAAGGCATAAAAAGGTATTGTAACGATATAGCCTGTCCAAAATCGGTATGGACATTGATAGGCAAGCGTTGAGCAAAAAGTAACAGACATACCAAATTTTACAACGAACGATCCTATACAGAATAATAGGATCTTGATGTCGATATAGTACTTACTACACCCCACCCCAAGTCTAACATCGGCTGAATTCAAGCGTTTCAAAAAAGTATAAAATGATTTAGACTTTGGCGTAAGTACCAATATAAACACATACGCTAAGTATTCGATACTAAACTTAGTATACCATCCATAATAAAGGGGGTCAAATTGTGTATAAATATATATAAAATTGCATGTTATTGAGGAAACACCTAGTATAAGTATGCTAAGCTTTACAAACACTTTAAGCTTTCGTGGCTTAGAAGTCACAATCCCATAGTCCATAAAAAGGAAATATAGAACAAAAGCAAAGAAATATTTCAAAGATTTTGGTATAGGCTGAGAAATAGGTTTTGTATGAAATATTTTATTTCTTTTAACGACAGGCTTTAAACTGGTCTCGGACATGATCAACGACTGATCTATCGCTTTAATATTTGTAAATTGAGCTATCAATTCGTAAAGTACTTGTAATTGCCTGTAGTTTTATGAGTTCTAATTACGTTATATGTAAAGACATAAATAAATAATATTTTAATACCACTAGTTATTACGACCACCATTAGTCATTACGAGTTTTTAATTACCAAAAATTTTCTAATACAAAATTTATTAAATTAAAGATTATTTCTTTTTAAGATAGCGTGCCTGGAAGGGATCACTTTAAGTGATAAAGTCGCCCTAACACTGACAAAACTTACATAAAAATTAGTATACTTTTTAGATTGTAATTTTTTAAGTTATACTTACTTGTTTTGGTACGTTTGGAAAAAAATATGACAGTAAAACTTTTGCTATGCGCGCGCATACTAACAATAAAATAGTTAACTGCATTCCTTTTACAAACGGAGAGGTGTGACATACGGGATGAAATCTTTAGCTATTTTTGTTCTGTTACGCCAAAGAAATATAACTTCTTATGTACGTACAAGGTACACACACACACGTTTTTTTGGTGTAATAATTAATTTAGTTTTAAGTTTTAGTTTGTAATAATTGGGATGATAAATACAACGAATATATCTAAAAAAACTTTTCCTTTAAACGTTTTCATATCAACTTATTACACAATTTATATAATATATTTTTTTTACTTTTATTTTTTTTTTACTTTTTAGAAGTCGTCACTATATTTGTTGAGTTATTCTCAGCAAGCTCTTTCATTTGATATCCATATTGTAGGAGTGCATTAAGAATAACTAGTCCGCTATCTTGGGTGTTCCGCCATGTTGGATTTAGAAAGATGTCACACAGCTAACCATGCATTGTCATCTATACTGACATTGCTGCTACCATATACGAATATTGTATGTGAAATGATAATTTTTAATTGGTCTATGTCTATAAAATTATTCCTTCCTTATAAAAAATATTATATCCATCATAAAGTCTACTCAATAGTGTAATATTATATTCTTCCAAATAAAGCAAATGATTCTAAGCCCGAGGAATTTATTAGTAGATAGAGGAATTTGTATACCTTCCGCATCTCTTCCTGGTCTGACTTGGTCATAAACTAGGCTATTCGTAAGTTCTTCATCACCAAGTTTAATATTAAACATTCTTTTCGAAATCAACCAAATAAGTCTAAGTTTGGAGGATCGATTAGTTAGTAGTTGTCGAAGAGTTCTTCTACTGATTCTAGAACTTTATCACTTAATTCTTACTGAACCGAGATAATAATTTTTTAAGACTTTAATTAATTCAACCCTACAGGATTACTTTTATCAGGCTCTCGTCATTAAATATACGTGGTCTCGTCAAAACAAACCAAGGTCGAGTTTCACTCACTGGGTTATCAATTCTTAATATATGTTCAAAAATTTCAGTAATATAGATAACTGACAGTGGGTGATGATTAAATTGGAAGATTCCACTGATGTTACTACATAGTGATATTAGCTTGTTAATTTAAATTAGTCATGCAAGTTGAGCATATTGCCTGTGCTATTAATTTACTATTTTTTTCTATGTAAAGGAGTAATTAGTTTAATAAAATTAAGTGTTTCAATGAGATATTTTATGTTTGAATAAAATATACTATAATCAATAATTATTAATCTAATGGATGTATAGAAAATTATTATGTTCCAAGTAACCATTATGTTTTGAGTATGAAAATAATTATGTAATTGCTACGATATGTACTGAAATACTGTCCAGTTTATTAAGGTAGGAATATTGGGTGCATAGTTATATGAATTGTTAAGATTTAAAAGAAAAAGATAACATTTATAATGTCCAACTTCCTTAACTTAACTGATGCTGCTCTTACCGAAGTGGTTTACGAATGTTCAAAGTGTATTATCTGTGGCTGCGCAAATTACTTACTATCAGGGTAAAAAAAAACAAAAGACTCGTTTTTTGTTTTTGCTTTTCTATTTCCAGGTATTTTATTAATATGTTATAGTAACAAAATGTATTTAAAACTATGTAAAATGCAGACGCTAAATAAAGAAGTTTATACGCCAGTGTTAGCATCATTGAAGAAAGCTAAACCAAATTTTTTGTAGAAACTAATTTACATATATTAAGTAATTTATTTTCAAATAATAAGAATAAGATTTAATTCCTATAGATGTTTTAATATTGATTTTATAATGTAATATTTAATTAATATTTTTTTACGCAAATTATCTGAATTTTATTTTATCTTTACAAAAAAACTTTTTATTCAACTGTTCTGAAAGATATGTTTTTTAGTATATGCTACAAGTGGAGATTACTTGTATTATTTGAAAAATATATGCAAAAAATATATATTCCAGTAAGCTATCCTAACACAGACGTAAACTGAACAATAATAATAGAATAAGTTGTACAAAAACTAATGAGAGCTAAAGGCAAGCTGATGTCGACATGGAAAATACGTAGAACACTGTATTTGAATGGCCTGAGTTCAAGGTAATAAAGGCTGTCGTATATACTTTGTTGAAGAGGGACACCTGGAACAAAATGAAATGGAATCTGAGTTACTTATCTAGCTTAGGATATACATATTTCTATCAATATTATTATATAAAAATATAAAAAGCTTATGCGTGCTTTTCTAAAAAACTACTGATGTCTTCTTTGTTCTTCTTATTTTCCATTATTTCAGCTCGAGTCTCCTAATTTTTCAGCGTCAAGACAGTCGTTTCTGGAAATTCGGCTTGATTCCAAAAAACGAGGTTCTCAAATCATGGGAATCTTTTTTTATGTATATTCCGATACAATATTTTAAGATATGAACATCTAATAGATAAATATGTATTTTACGTATCGAAATATATGGGCTGGCACCGACTTCGAAAATATCTGATTAGATCGATCTTCATGGAAATAAGCTACACAGCATCAGCAGGTATTGTGCACTTTCCTTAATATATAGAATTGCATCTCGCCTTGTCATCTCATTATTATCCCTTAAATTTAAGTTGCATCAATCAAATATAGGCGTTGCGATAGTAATCGCATATTAGCTTCACCCGCGGATGTTTCCGCGTTACTGTTGTATGTTTTCTAAATCAAACCCCCGATTAGTTATTTTTTACATTTTAGTGCCTGGAAGTCGATTTTTTAAAGTTATTATAGTGTAGAATAGCCTAAACCCATAAAACACTAGGGACCGACGACTTAAGAACGTGTGTTTTTAAAATGTTTTTTTTTTCATTCGATTTATTTTCTTTAACAATTGCAGTGCCTCATATAAGCCATCAGTTGAACATGAAATATCTAAATATTTACATCATTTCGCAAAATTATTTGAAGCAGTATAAGTCTATAGAATTTAAAATAATTATTTACTTGGACAAATTAGAAGTTGCTTCTTTAGGTGAGATTTGATTTTGTCCACTTCAGATATAACTAATTCCGAGAGTATCGCCGGGATGATTGGCAGAGATACATTCAATATTGTATACGTAAAAATGTTTATATCTAGTCTCTGTAAATGAAAAATATTTATAATTAATTATTATCAATAAAAAAGGGGAAACACAAAACTAAACTTTTTTGAATTATTTTTAAAATATAATTATATTAACGTAGAATCAGCCTCTATATCGATGATAATGACTTTTTCAATAAGATTTTAGAAAAAAATATTTAATGTACAGATTCGACTCAGTTAGAATTTTATTAATGTATATAAAATAATTGTTGCTTTATTCCAAAGAACTTTTTATTCCATAGAACCTTTTGATACAGTAACCTGTGAAAGATATTAAATAATACTATAAAATTGCCTTACATTTAAATTTCCTGTAGCAAAATCCAAAACTGTACTGAGTACATAGAATATGAAAGAGGGCAAGCTGAAACATATCTGTAAATAATAAATATTTTATTTAAAAAAAATATATACATAACACATTAACACAGTACTTAAGGTAAAAGTTAAAAGTCAACAATTTAGTTCCAAGTTTATTAATTTTTTTCTTTTATTTAAGGCTTTTTGGCAAAAAAAATGTTTTATCTATTTTATGTAGACTTTATGTAAATTCAGTGATAAAAAATATTCCGCATGGTTGTTGTAGTATCTGCGCAAGCGATCCTACAACGCCCTATTGCATTGTAGTGACGGGTTCCGCTGTAGATTTTAGTGAGAGTTCCACTGAACCCTGCCTATTGATGGCCGGCAGAGTCTATGTAAATATCAACAAAAAAAATTAGTAAAAAATAATAATTATAAACTTACGAGTAATTTTGACGCTAACGTGTCATATTTTTTGTGATTGTCCATTAGCTTTTTATATAAGAGTAGATAATCTTTCAGTTGTATGCCATAAAGTCTTAGTTGGACCTTACTAATATTGTGTGAGAAAATAATTGTTTCTATTATTTTTCTCAGTGACTTAATCTTATTCCACATCAATTCGAACATTATGTTTTTTATAATGTAACATAAACTGACACCAGTTAAAACAAAAGTCATAGAAAAATATTCTAATATATTGTTAACATCTAATCTAAAGTAGAGGTCTAAACATCGCTCTACATTCAATGCTAATATAATAATAAATACACATGATGAAATTAGCACATCCTTGTTTTGTGATCTCGCATTACTCATTGTTGTATGTTTTATGGCATTTAATCCAGTCAAAAATTCATAAAAATATTCACTGTTACTTATAAATGACACCATAGTTAGTAAGAAGAATAAAATAATTTTTTGAGTATTATTTATAGCCTGAGGTAAAAAATTTAAGCGTTTGAAGCTGTTTACAGTATGTACACTGAATATGCAAGAAAGTATTATAACGGAAATACAATAAATTTTAGCAATTACACACATCGTTTTATTCTTTTGAAATATATTGGAATAGAAACCAAATAATAACCGGATGAACATGATGATATTTATAAAGGAAAACCATGTCATCTTCGAAATCCAACACTTGTATTGTCGATTGCTTTGTATGAAGCAATTGTTAGTTTGTTGGGCTTATTATGATGTCCATTAAAATAATTAATCATTGACATGGATCGATATTCATATAAGTAATGGTGTTTTTCTCTAATGTAATGATAACTGCTGTAGAACAATGTAACATAGGTGGTACTAATAACTATATAATGTGATAGAAGTCGTTGGTTCGATTCTAAGAGGTGGGATTTCTAGTATTAATTGTTATTATGTTATTGTTAGTATTAATTGTTGTCGTTGTTGTTGTTGTTGTTGGTTGAATTGTTTGGCGACATCACAATGCTTTATAGACAGAACTAAGCTCCAATTTAAATATTCAAAAAAGGATGATGCTTGAGTTAAGTCGTTATGAGCATTTCTATTGCTCATAACAACTCGTTATAAAAATAGCTTTATTTTCATTATTCAAAAATAATTTCATAATCAATAACAAAATATTTTCTATCAACATTGACCCTATTACAATCCTATAGTAGACTAGTAAGAGGGATATAATATTCGGAGTACTAAGTATTGCCATACTAATGATATTTCTTAAGTTTGCCTCAACTCCCTACAGTCTGAACAATTTGTGTAAATTGGACGCAAAGGAGTCGATGGTATCGCGAACTTCGTATGTGACTTGCTAATGCGTCTTGAGAAGTTATACGAATAATGAGGTAATGAAATTGTTTGAAGTAGCTCCATCTATTGTATGAATAATGTTTAAACTTCGTTTTTATTTGTTTCTATTCTATTTATTCTAGCTTTGCAAGCATATTCTTCCTTTTCCTTTTTTTATATATTAAAAAATTGAGAATGGCTGGACTTTTTTAAATGTTCATAGTAGTCTAAATAAGGAATTTTTAGGGTTTTTTTTGGAAAAATTCAACTAGTAAGGGTCAAATCGTCTATTTCACCGCAAGCAGTCGAATTATCAAAGATCCTATCATCGACCCAGGTGTTTAGGTTTGATTCTGTCAGCCAATCTTAAGAGTTTTATTAAATACTTAAGAAAATTATATAAGAAGAACATCTGTAGTTAGTTATTTCAAGTTACCTGAAACAGTCGTAAAAGCTAACCCTAAGTCAAATAGGATCATTGATTCAATCCTTAATTTGTATATTTGAGCATGAACAAACAATATGCTAATCTGTTGACATCGGCGATCCGTTAATGATTTGATCTGGCACGCATCACTGAGATATTCATACATAGCATCTAATGTATACGTTCATAAATAAAATTTCTAACATTCTGAGTGTGTTAATAACTTTATATATATATATATATATATATATATATATATATATATATATATAAGAAGATTTGTTAACATTTTATGTATTAAAAAAAAATGGATAGAAAAGTATGACTAAAGCTTAAAAGAAACTAAAAAAAAAACAACTTCAGGTTTCTGATCATTTAATTGAGTACCTCTTAGGAAAGTATTTCATTTCTACAGAAAAAGAAATTTTAATAACTTTAATGTAAATAGTTTTAACGGGCCTAATAATTTTATCATTTTACTATTTAATTCTAAGAGAAATATGCTTAGAAGGGTTAATATCTCATATTAATACTTTTTCAACACACCGCTATTCCCTCAGGTCAGACGTTGTAGTGTGACGTCTCTACGCCTAGAACCCTAAGATGTCACTAACATATTAACATAGAAACCCGCAAACCCTGTGTTTGCTAGTGCATTCAACTTGGGGTCGTATTGTACATCCGGCGACATTCCTTTGAATTTCTTTTATGCACCCTTTGACAGAGAATTAAAATGCTAGAAGCTTATGGCTTATTTTTCAGGTTTATTTGTGTTTCTTTTAAGAAAATATTTATTATATTATCTAATGTAATCTGTTTAATATTTATTAATAATGTAAAGTTGCAAATGTTTAAACACTGGGTTCGATCCCCTTGTCAGGGGAAGATATTTATTACATTTAAGATGGTCACTTGGAGTATGAGAATAAAGGAAAGGATCGCACACTGTAAAAATGTCCATAGTACAAAATAACGACATATATATACTAGCGGCTCATCCTCGCTTCACTCGGGCTCGTCGCTAGGTACGTTTTAAATATATATAAATAGTTATTACCCAGCATTAGCCATATACATTTTAATATGGTTGTTAAGTATTCTTAAATAAGTATTCTTAAATTTTATAATTTTCCGCGCAATTTTTTAATTTTTTTCCTTCATAAGAACCTTCACCTGACAATAACAAACACAACAAAAAAAAAATAGTTAAATCGGTCCAGCCGTTCACGCGTGATGGCGTGACCAAGGAAATAGGGATTCATTTTATATATATATATATATATATATATATATATACATATAAAAATATAATGTAATATACTATGGAAGAGTCTTTTCCAGTAAAACATATTTTATATCTAAAAGTTACTATCCCTTTTACATACAAAGAAAAGATCATTTATATTTTCTAATAATTATTCCGGTATATAAAATGTTAGTTACAAGACAACTTTGCTCGGTGGTCGTTTGATCTGCAATGCTGTGCTCTTGCTAAAGAAATATGTAGTTATATATTCTGTAGTGTAAGGAAAAGGGTTAGAATAATTATAAAATTTCATAGAAAGCAGGAAGAATTGCTAGAAAATTTAAACCTTATAGAATAAAAGTATAAAATAATGTATATAAATCCAAAGAGAATCGGACTACACTAAAAGTGAATTTTTTTTTTTTAATATAGGTACTAAATCTTGCGTGGTAAAAGGGTGGTACTAGCGTGAACTTTTTATTTATTTGTAGCAGTGTTATAAGAAAGAGAAAAAATATATTTCGATTAAACAATAAATAGGTTGATTTGATTATGTTTATGCAAAAATAATATAAGAAGGTAGTCAAAAATGCATATTTTGAATTTCAAAAATTATATATATATATATATATATATATATATATATATATATATATATATATATTTATTTATATTAAAAATTAATGAATATACAATAATGGGGCTTAAAACCAAATATTTGTCGATGATTTATAAATCAGTCTTGGGTTAATAAAGTATTTTATCGTATCTTCCGACATTGTCGACAACTAAAAAAATGTATACATTTTGTTTTTTCATAAATTGAGTATGGTAACCCTATAAAAGTAAACGAATATTTAATGTTCATATTTTTTTACTACATATATTTGTTTTGAAAAACATTATTCGTCGACGTTTCCATAACGACACTGTAAAAAATCTTGCCCAAAGCTTGAATAATAAGTAATCAACTTTATGATGATATGAAAAAATATGCGAAACAAAAAAAAAAGATTTTACCTGTACTTTTTATTATGAAATATAAAATGACATTAAAATTATGAATATATTATAGCGTAAGCACTTCCTATGTTAATACAGCTGGTTAAAATGTTATTGAATACGAATCGCCTTCCTATTTCAATGAATCTCAAATTTTAAGGCGCGACCCAATATATTAAAAAAAAAATGTAATTTATGGACAAATCTTTCTAAAATAACGCTTCTAGTATAATTGCGAAAGTTTGTATGTATGTAAGCCGTTGTTAGTTGGATAAAAGGCACAAAGTTAGTTTATAAATAGACTACAGTTAGTAATAAAATTCACCAAAAGGTGGCGTTGCTTGTATGTAATATTATAAATACAAAAGGCCTTGATGACAGGGAAACGAGTCACTACTAAATATAAAAGGCAAGGCCAGTATCTATAAATTAATATATAAATTAAGTTAAACGATCAATATCACACAAAAACAAAAATTATCACACTAATAGTTTGATTTTAATATCCTCTACATACTTATATAGTTAGCCCTTCGTCAATAAAAACCCTTTCTGATTGCAAATGTCCATTCTCCATTTGTTTCGATGTATTCGAAAACAATGTTGTGCTTGAAATCCATTAACGCACCGCGCCAAAAGCTGTTATCAAGCTACAGTATTCACCTAAGTTTGTATATATTAATCAAAGCTTTACATACGAATTACAACCTTATATACGATAGATTTACAGGTTAAAATATCATGCTCACTTTATTAGTTAAGGAAGAACGATGGGTTGTGTGGTGCACTACAAATATGCACTCGCGAATAGTCATTTCGCGGCGTCAAACAATACGCATATGCATTGGCTTTTTAACTCGAAACTCGTAAAGTTGGCTTGTTATGGAAACTATTTCATTTACTTACAGTATTTTGCATACATTTTAGTTATTGGTATGTTTAGTGATAATTATTATCTATACATATAATAAAATTGTAACTAAGTCAAATCTGTACATTAAATATTTTTTGGAAAATCTTATTGAAATAAACATT